GTTTTCCCTTAGCAAAAAGTCGATAACCATTAAGTATTTAAAGAATTTTGATACAAAAGAATAGGTAATAAAGTCCATTGAATTGCAAATTTCGTAAGCAACTTGTCGAAATGTTGTAAGAAACATGTTTGGTTTAATAATTTAAGCTAAGGTTAGGTTTTTGCGCGCGGCTTTGTCTGAAAATAAACCATAATCAGCAAGACACAAAAATAGTTATTTATGTGTAATACATTGGTTGACATATCTCTTAATTTGGTAACGTAACTTTTAATACTGATGAAAGTGACTCCGTTATTGCTATTGATCTTTTTTTAAATATATTACAATTATAGTAAGTAAGTACAATTAAGTATAGTAAGTACAATTAAGTATTGTATGTAGTTATAATTAAATACAAGTGTATCAGAAAACAGTTATCGTTTTACAGATTATAAGGTCGAAAACACTATTCTGAATTATGCAACATTTATTCGTATTAACTCTGAGAAATTAATTTCTCAGTTGCAAATATTTAACGCATAACATCTTTCATATTCCATACAATACTAAAGGTCAATCAATTGTTATTTTTGTCTTCAGAACGATTACATACGTCACTATATACTAAAAATAAAAACGTGTAAAGACGTACATTAAATTAATTAATAAAATGTATTGGTTTTTGTATTCAAACCATGTAGCAACAGTTTTTTGTTCCACTATCGTTAATAACGCTGTGGAAAAGAGAAGTTATCTTCTGTCCCGCTCACTTAACATCCGTTGAGAATCTTATTTTTATTACCTACTACAATTTATATAGCATAAAATTAATCAAAATTAACAGTACACGGTTCAAACTACTTCAATTAATATCTGAAAAACTATTCTCTGATGTTACTGGGAATCTTAGCGTTCGGCGCATACTGATAATGCTAGTGGTTTTCTTACAGATGTGACACAATAGTTATTATTCTATATTATTGTTGTTATTTAATGCCAATAGCTACAATTAGAACTAGATTACGATAAAACCATACATCAATAGGATCTCTGTCTGTATGTCTACGTGATAAATGTTATAGAAATTGGTTTGGCAATTAAGACTACATGATGATCTCTATATTACAACTAACGCTTTCTTTTATTTAAAGCCTCTTATAACATATTTTGGAAATTATTGAAATAAGGAAAAGTTATCATGATTAATTACTATAACGTACTTATGAAAGAAAGAAATACTTTATTATACATAATAAGAAAGAATTCCCTATGTTGTGGGCTCGTCCATTTGACATATTAATGATTTTAGGTACTTGGCATAATAAATTCTATACAACACCAGGGCCGGATATAGGGGAGGGCAACGGGGCCTCAACAAAGGAGGGTCAATAGAGACTTCGGAAAAAAAATGTTTTAAATTCCGACTAGTAAACAACTTTTCTTTGTTAAATACTAATAGAATCTACTTGTTTACCCAATAAATTATTGATTGAAAAACTCGACTCGGTCGAAAACGGGCCAGAAGCCTCTACTCCTTTGCTGCCCAGACCTCCAGACCTCTAAATCCGACACTGCATAACACTTACAATTTTATAATTAAACTACGAACTTCTTAAGATTGTTGTGAATATGTAAAGCTTTGAATCGTTAGCGAAAAAGTTTTAAAGAAATTGGTTAAAGGGAAAGAGTAAAAGCGTAGAGCGCAGAAAATGCGTTTTTTGGGTAGCTTATAATATGTAGGTTTGCGTTGAGTATGGTGGTTGGTGTTTGATAACACAAAAGTATATTGACATTAATCATAGTTTTCTTTCATAGTAATTTTGAAGTTAGCGAAAAGTAGAGATAAAATAAAGATAAGAAAGATAGGTAGATAATAGAAACCGTCATCATAAATGGACCGAAACAAAAACATAATATGATGTTGTATCATGTGAAGTTCACGCCATAATCGTTGGTTTGTGCGTCTCTAATATTTATAAATACTACATATGACGTAAAAATTTAAGTGCCGTTAATTCCGTCTCGTAATTACTCTAAACAAGAATTCGTGAATCATATTTGTTTTAGTTACATCGGTGCACTAATTGGTGGTACTTCATTGAATTGAATTGATTCATTGGACATGTATCATAATAAATATTCATGTTAAATTCTTAACGCCATCGTTGGATTACGTCATTTGAAAATTCACGCTTGATATAATTCTAGTTGTATACACATATTTCGGCCATACAATGCGCAGAGGCAATGAGAATTTAGAGAAACTGATCGTGGTTGGTAAGAAGGCAAAAGATCACGTAGCCGTTCATCAACCAGATGGACCGATCAAGTGAAAGATTCATCGCCCTCAAAACGGTATACCGTATACTGAGAGGCGCTGGACAGAAACCGGTGGAAACAGATAGTCCGATCCAGATTTTTCCTTGCTGAGCATCACGCTCAGACATGAACTGCCGATTACAGAGAGAACGATACTCCATAATGTAGTTTAATATATTACTTAAAAAATACTAAATATTCTAGTGAGCAATTCTTCAAACACGCTAACTATGGTGACAATAATATGTATCACATTCTTTACTTATATGTAAAAGATGATAAACATAAAACAGACACACAGGCTCACCTGATGTTAAGGTAACAACATTGCCGTGGTCGCAAGTGCGTTGCCAGCCTTTAAAATGTAACTGTTAGAGGCATATTCTATGTTCAGAAACAAGGATTGTTGTGAAGAAATTAAAGACTATTAGAGACTCTATAGAGTGGAAACTAGTTTCCCTGGCGGAGCGCTAATTTAGGGTTATTTTTTATACCAAGTTTGACATCTTTGGCAATTTTAAATTAGATACAAGCATTCTAACTGTTAGTATATGCTTAGATCTTATTTTGACTGTACTATCTATTGTAAAACTTAGTTACGCATACTATAAACGTAAGCTATAGTATGCGTTTACGCATGCGTTCACCGTTAGCCGGCTATGGCCCACTGCCCTTCTTACCACTCACGAATCACATTGTTTAATGTGAACAATCTCTAATACATAAGATTAAGTTCAATGAGCACTTAACATGAATCACTTACATCCTTATGGAATCAAATTTAGGAGCTGCTTGAGTTTGCAAGGGTCTAAACCTAATATGCTTAACAAACGTTTGTCATACTTTGCGGAAAGGGAGGGATTTAGAAAGAGAGAGAGACTTAGGTCGAATGAATCTCTTATGTCTAAAAATGACTCTCTTATGTCAAAAAATGACTCTCTTTTGTCAAAAAATGGCTCTCTTATGTCAAAAAATGACTCTTATGTCAAAAAATAACTCTTTTGTCAAAAATTAACTCTTATGTCATAAAATGACTATCTTTCATTTCTGTATCTTACCCTATGTCTCGACGCTGAATGTGAGTTCTCGATAGCAGAACGGTTACGATTTGTTTTTTCCCGATAACGACAGACGCATTTCGTTTAATGTGATTGTTTAACAGCCTCTTAAATGCAATCGCGACACAATCCATCTTTCCATTTAACCAATCTCCAACGAAACGACCAGTCTCGTTTTATAAGCGTAATGGAGTCTCTCCGCGTACGTTGTATACCTCGGAAGGTATGACCCTTCTCAGACAACTCTACAATAATCGCCCAGTTAAATAGGACTAAGGTATAATCAACGGAACAATAGAGGCGATTATAGAATAAGACTTGTCGTTGCTTTTGTACCAAACTTTCTCATTATTGTAATAATTACGTTGTGAAAAATCGAACGACTTTTGAATTATTGAAAGTTAACTTTTACGGCGAAAGTTCCATAAAATATTAAAATTAATACATAGTGACATTGCAAAGGTTCGTTTGCAATTATGTGTGCATATCGACATGAATATATGAATTAATTAAATTGCGTTACGCGACCTCGGCGACCGATATATTAACCACGTGGTCTGTCTGTTGAATATTTCTTATCGAAAATCATAAACGCTTAGATTCTCTGTATTAAAATATTGACCTAGTTTTGTAGATCAATGAACTATAGCAGTAGGTATTGAAACAATGTACCTAATATAAAAAACGCTGTTAAAAAGAGCAGTCGATTCCTAAACAAATTATAATTGTTTCAAATTACTATCAATAATCGGGGTTCTCCCATTAAATTATACGGTAAATGAACTAACGAACGAACTGTTTCGACGTAAACTTTGGGATGCCCCGTGTTGTGTTTAATAATAATTAATTAAGAAGTATTATTTATATTTCCTTACTAGGAAGTTTACAGAGTATGTGTTTTTAGAAGCAATCTTAAAACAAGATCAATTATTTTTAACTTTGCGCTATTTTTAAACATCGTTTTAAACATATTTTGACGTTGTCTCTTATTAGACTCTAGTTCATTCTTTACGTAGGACTCACTTTACGACTACCCACACACGCCCACAGAGTCATTGTAAACCCTGTTTTTGTTTAATCTTCACGAATAATATCAGTTAGTCGACAAGTTGAAAATGGAACAAAATAGAGATACGCTCTTAAAGTTATGTGCGATAGTCTTTGAATCGGGTGAATGCTGAAAAATTTGCTAAAAGCGTGTATTAGCACATAAAAATTGCAAAAGTTATAGACCATTAAAGATGAAAAAAATGGCATTGTTTTTGCCAATATTTAATAAACTTTCAAATAAAGATTCAAATAACATGATGAAAATATCTAAATTACATTTAGAACGAAAGAACCTTTTTTTAAATTTGAAAAAATTATGGTGTGTCTGAAACTATAATTAATTATTCCGTTGGAAATTTTACTTAAGCCAACAAGTTAAACAGGGGGGTGGAAAAAATGGGTAAACTAACGAAATTTTCTCGAACGACCGTCTTAATTGTATTGAAAAAAATGTTTTAGCGCATAATGGTCTAAAAATATTTCGGCTTCGTAGAGCCTTTCTTAACCTTAACAAGATCGTGCCATAAAAGTTAAAGAAATTTTATAAAATTTTTTTTTTTCTACATCACATATTTTCTTTTATACTTAATACAA